TCTGATCGTTTACTGACTCTATATCTGAAACTCGATTCACGAATTCTGCAATACACCTATAAATCGCGTCCTCAAACGATAAAGCAATTCTGTAACGTAATTGGTGAGAAAGCTGCCGTTCACTTCGACGTTGTTTTGATCCGTCGATAACAATATTGTTTTTGATAATGACGAACGACTACATAACCCCAGAAAACACGGTTACCGCTTTGAATCTATCTATAGATATGTTAGTTTGATTTCAAAGAAAGCGCTTCGTCGCTAGGGGGCGCGACTTATATGACAATGTATTGGATCTGAAAACTGAGTGTAGAGAATTATACCCATGAAGTAGTTCATAAAAGAAATTAGAGAAAATTAAACGTTGTCTAAGTAACGAGGTTTGTCGTTAGCGAGGAATGATTGTTAATGGAAATATCAATTTCTGCTAGAGCTAAAGTTCATAAAATCAAAGCATGCATTTTTCGGGGAATTCGGGAAATGACAAATCGTCATTTTCATTTGGGGATTATTGGAATCACATTATTAATTTCTCACTGAAAGTCAATTCATTAGTAGTGAGTATGGATTACAACACGCCGGCGATTAGGTGCAAACAAGATGTTGGATATAAACACAAAACAAAACAAACCAAACACAATAGAATAATGTCTATGCACAAACAAAGTATTTTATCACTAACTTTAACAATACAATTCTATATCAATTAATAACATAGGACTTTAGAACTGTTTAAAATATATACGGTACGATAATAGCAACTGGTAAAGGGAGGACTGTTATTTATGCCGGGAGTAGGTTGGTACAAAATATTACGTAAATTATTGTGTGTTTTAAGCGTAATTTCTTTGCTTTGCTAGCGTCGCCCGTCAATTCATATTTCAGAACGCGTATGTGACAATTTGTTGTGATGTAGTGTAATATTATGTTAAGTGCATACTACTTTTCGGACGATTTTCTCGTGATCTCGTGCAGATTTATTTTACAATTTCCATTTAGCAAAGCCCACAAAAAATGGTTTGTTCCTAGCTCGAAGCAGACCTCCTACTCATACAATAGGCGTACACTAGCAGTTGCGTGTAACCAGTATCGAAACACGCGTGTATTGATGACGTCACTCGTTCATTACACAAGATAAACGGGTCGATTTTCTCTCTAGTATGTTGAAGTGAGCTCACTAACTCACGATATGGAATTTCACGCTCAGGGGAAAAATAGTGTGCAGAATTTGATGATCGCCCGGAGTTCCGAAAATCCAACAGATTTTGACTAAAATTTCTTCGAGCCAAGAAGCTCAACGTCAGTGAAGCTTTCAAGATGTTAGCGCAGTATAACGAATTCAAGAGAGATAACAGCGACATATTCGACGATTTCAGGTCGAGAACTGTCTGAACAATGCTGACAACAACATTCCTGTGTCGCACTCGATGATGGGAGTTACTGTATACCGTACGACATATCTGATTCTTTAAAATTGTAAAAATATTTCGGTAATGCGAAAAATAAACCTAAAATGTAAAAAGAGGGTCGGCAAGGGATATTTTCGTAAGCTGTAATCAATTGTTTTTATTTTCGTAATAATATAATTTAAATAAATCAAAAAACGTAAATCCGTAGACATGGGCAAGGTGTAAAATGTAATCAGCTATTTTATTCGTCCGTAATTTGTACAAAGATATTATTTTTTGTAAGCGTACTATAAAGCATTTTCCAAATTAAATGTCGTAATTCGTACGCAATTTCCAATTGATTCTTAAACTCAAATTAACAAAAATATTATAAAAATGTAATTAGGAATTTGCTTTATCTGTAAAGTGTAAAAACCTATTTTTTTTACTGTAAATGGAATTTCCATTTTATTTCCTGTAAAAACGTAAAATGCCGTTTTTATTTCATATTTCATGTAACCCGTACCAGTCCCCCCCCCCCTTGCCCCCTAAAAAGTTATCTGATCTACATATATGGAAGGTGTTTGTGGCTGCAGCATGGAATACAGTGCTTGTCTCCGGATGAGGCCAAATCTAACTCGGAATCATTTAATCATCAGACCAGATGCACTGTCTTCATTGTTAGTTGCCGTTAGGCATTTTGTATCTGGCGTAAAACGATCGCGGGTGTATCAGTCGATGTGAAAAAACGGGTGATTGTAAATGAGTTCGTCTCGGCGTTCTAGTTGTGCGAGTGTGCTTCGATTGTAAATCACTTTATTCATGACACACTGTACTGGTCTTCTGATTATCATTGTATGGAATATGTTACCGACTGGGTGGAGTAGTAAATTCGATAGCTAGCCTCAGTCGACTATAGTGCCTTGTTTGTAATGGAAAACGGGTAAATTTACTTATACTGGCAAATGAAAATTAAATATACGTATACGTTCATAGACACATACACATACATGCACACCTAATACGGTAGTTCTCTTTTTGGAGGATGTGGTGGCCCTGAAAAGGGCCGTTTGGTTTGGGGGTATATTCTACGTTTATCCACCAAAACCGTACAATGTACGACCCTGGCGCTTCAGTGCGTAGACGACATCCATGTAAATAGAAAGTTGCGTAGGTCCAATGGGTCACGTTGCACGTGTGTCCTACAATAGTTATTACGTAATAGTATTTTGGGTCAAAGTTCGTCGACGTTGATTGAAATCGCCAAAAAAAGTTTTCAACAGAAGATTTAGTGCTTCCTCAAATCATCTTTAAGTTTACTAGTGCACTACTTTACGCGTCATTAGTTTATTCGGTCAATTTGCAAGATACGTTCGATTGGATTTGTTAATCGTGAAATGTATGTGATTTTTTAAGAGTAAAATTCACGTATATCATCTGGGGCGCATGTAATAAACATATTACAGCTCAGATATTTGTGCATTTGTGGCGCAAACTTCTATATTCGGCCAGTAATTTATAAAACAGTCTTGTTGGTCCTTTGTTATGATAATTTAAGTAGAAAGATTATAACAAAATAATCTCGTGATGATTTTTGTGATATGTACATAAGCTATTAATCATGTCAACAAAAATAATAAAGTACAGCCTAGCCTGACATTTAGGCTTGAGCGGCGGCCTCACCGGTCGAACGGTAAAAGACCCCACTGTGTGTTGGGTTTGGAGCACCGCGGAGGACGCAACGAGACCTTGTCAGGCCAAGCACACAATTGTTTATTTTAAAATGCCTTCCCAGTCCAGCTAAGGCATTCCATTCCTTACACAATCCGTGAGCAGTGCAGCCAGTATTCTCGTGGTTATTGCCAGATATGACAGTAAAAAACGAGTAAATATATTAGAGGTTACCAATTTCAATAAATCACGAAAACTGGGAGCTCGGAATTCGGTCTTTTGGTTCAAACTTTACTCGCATAACTTGATAACAGTTTTTACATTCACTTGTTCAATGCTTTTTCCGTTTTTACCTTTTCGTCCACAAAATTTCCAGTCCCTCCCAAAATTACGTGAAAAACCTTAAAATAACAGGTTGATGAGCTGTCATTTACTGACACCGACACCATACTAACCTTACAGAACGAATCATGTGACTAATATGATGAATTTGGATATTAATCTACCTGGTAGTGTAGAGCGTAAACTTACCTTACGGTGTTCATACAAGTCATTTATAGACAGCGCCCTCGTACCCTCAGCTTGAAAAATCTTTTTTTTTCGTGTTTTTTAGGAGGAACACATTGCAATGTTTGCTAGTTTTAGGAATGCTTTTTGAAATTATACTCAGATGGGTGAAAGGTCTGTATTTTTTCCTTCTGTAAGTCACAAAAGAATATTATCTCTTGAGGCCACAACTCATCTCCACCTTCAGATAAATAAAAGAACAAAAATATAGTAGAAAATTCCAATTTGGCCACCAGAAATAATAATCCATCTCTCGTCATTTACTGCCTTCAACAACCAATAACAAACAATGGGTGTTAAAACTTTTCAAAGCATGTTTAAATGGGTGTAACAGAAAATTTCCAGAAATTGGACATCAAAAGCTGCATCTACTGGACCACCTATGTAGTTATGAACAGATTTAACCCTGGATAACTTTTATGTGAGTTGGAAGTGTGGTACTCAATGTTTGTCTTCGTTTTCAGTTGAGAAGCCACACATCTATGACATGCATTCAGTATACTATATTTACAACACTCTTACAACTTCCTCTCCTCTCAGGGCATTATCTGACCGATTGCACCAGTATGAGGCATTATTTAGATAATGCTCCAGTATGAGGCATCAATTAAATAATGCCTCCCTGATACAAAATCAACACTTGTCAATTTCAAGGATCTGTCAGTAAATTCAATATATTTATAGAAATTTCCAAAATTTGAAGTTATGGTATTAGATGCAAAGTCCCTGATAGGATTTTTGATATCAATTGTCAGTCTAAAATATAATCATAAATATTCATAAGTGGATTATACAGTGTAATGTTATCCACCTGTAAATTTTATGTTAACAATGGAAAACCTGAAAGATGTGTACACATTTTTACCAACACAATCAATTGAATGTATTTGGCCAGTACAAAATGCAGGTGTCGTTGACATATTGCAAGTCAGATAATACACTCATTCACATATTTGACCTCAACTCTGCCTGGGGCCATCGTGTCTGTCATATATGAACAGATGCACTCCTAGCATTTATTATCTTTTACATCGCAAATTTGGTGACGTATTCGTGAAAACAAGCAGTGCAAAAAATAGTACCCCTCAGTGTAATGATAATTAATTGTTGACTACTAATGATATAAAGTCAAACAATGTTGCTTGTGATTCGGCATAATTTTAAATACAAAACCACAATGTTAAACACTGCTGCTACTTGTGACGTGTACAACGCATGTAAAATACACCGCATTCCAACTTCACTGACTGTGTGTAACACCACCATTAACTATATTGCACATAACAAAACAGCTCTCTAGTGTTATAGTCAGACAAATAAATCGTTAAATTTATTTATTCAAAATATGAACAGAATCAGTTCAAACACACTGCAAAAATTGCTCCAAATTCATAGTAAATGTTTCATAATTCAGGAATTAAAATTATGATTTAAGATCACTTTCATCTTCTTGAATGCTCGCTTGTTTTCTCTTGTGCCGGGCAATGGCATCTTGATGGCGCTTTATAGCTTGCTCATGGAAGAAGATCTCCTCATCGTGTGCACTTTTTAATGATTTAAGCTGCTTTTCTTGCTACAATAATATAAAATATCATTAGATTTGGTACTACATATTTGTCATGGTTACTGTTACCACAATCTTTTTGCTGTATCACAGCCAAGTTAGAGAGAGGGGGGGGGGCAAGGGTTATTTTCGCTCAACGTAATTGTAATATTTTTTTGTTCGTACAACGCAAATTGAAAAAATAAATTCTGCAATCACAGGCTAGACGTACAACGTAATCAATCAAATATTTTTTTCGTACACTGTAAAAAAATTTCTCGTTACGTACACAAATTTACATCCAAATAAAAAGAGTCGTAAAGAATAATCCAGGGAAATTACATTTTCAAAACTGTAAAACGACTAGATGACACAATTCACTGCAAAATTGAATGTCAAGGCCTTCTAACCGAATGATGAGCATTACGAGGGCAATATGCGCATGCGTCTCTACACACGGCGCAGCAATGGCGGAGAATTTGAAAATGTAAAATAACCTTTATTTTCTCTGTAAACATTCAATTTTCACTGTAAACACGTCTTTTTTTTCCTTGTAAATTGTAAAAAGTCCTTTTTATTTCCTGTAAAACTGTACTAGCCAATATTTCTTTTGAAACGTAATCACTTATGATGTTTTATGGCTACAAGAAAAACAACATTACGAATACAACAGCAAATGTAAATGGCTATTTTTCATCTTTTTAATATCGTCACGACAGTAAATATTTCCGTTTGTTTTACTTTTTAAAAAGTGCTAATCTCATTTTTATAAACATTGTTCAGTGCATGGAAGGTACCTCAACGCCTCTCAAGTGGCCACTTAAGCCTCTTAACTGGCTTATTTCCTTTTGTTTTAACCCAAGTTAATCCTGTCTAGCTCATCTTTGATGTCCATGATAGTTTGCGATTATTTATACAAGTAACGAGTTAGTGGAATATGATATAACCTCGCCGATTTTTAACGTGACCATCAAATATATGCGCATTATGAAACTATGGCCATCACACATGCACACTCGGTTGGTTTAAGTGTGAAAAGTCAAAATACGCATTTCACAACCGGAAATTTAACAGATGAACGTTTGATTTAACAGATTTCACATGTTTTCATTATTAGCAAATGTAACAAGAACAAGATTTCGAGCGTCTACTAAAAAAATTCCTAATAACTCCTAAAATATATTATCACAGGAAAAGTGTCTAGGCATGCCCTTCTTTTGATACTATCTTTTCTGGTGGTGTTCACTGATGTCCGGTGATCGAAAATTTCAAACAGTTTCGGGCGTCAAACCCAGGCACTGACGATGGTACCATTGAATAATGCAATTGTTATTGTAACAGGCAATCATTGATAACGTTATATCGCCATTACAAATACAAAAAAATCATGATAGTTCATCAGTTATTCTTCAATCGATCTTATATCTGCCAATTTTTCATTAAAATTCGCTAAGATCTCCGGAAACAACAACATTCCAACTAAACGTCATTTTCAATCTTGTGCATGCGCAGTTGGTCTATCCTGCTACCAAACATGCTCCAAATATTACCGAATGTTTGAGATTAGCTTAACCCATTGTAAGAAGGTGCCAAGAGCTAACAGAACCAATGTTTGTGAACAAACACTGCCAAATGATCATAGGGTAAAGCTAAAACAATATAGAGCAACGTGTGATAAACATCACGGGGAATACAGATTGAGCCCTCTAAACATTTGTTCATAATAAAACAAACTTTACATGTAATTCATAGCAAACCAAAGAAATATTTTTTGTATTGAAGTTTGAACCATGACTGACTAATAAGCATGTGATACGTTAATCCAAAGATATTATCAAATGGTAGCTACACAAAAAAGATTAGAGCTCAAAATTCCTCCTAGGTTTTCAGAAAGGATAGATTTTTTTGTCTAAAATATCTTATCTTGCATCTCAAAAACTGTATTTGACACCAGCAGTTTTTATACAACAAAATAGCCGCTAAGATTTGTCTGTTGTTCACATTCTTCCTCAGGGATTGAACTTCAGAGTGGAGAGGACAATTTTTTTTTTTTTATACAATCGCCTTGTACCGGTATATAGGAATAATATGAGGTAAATTTGTATTTTTTGAATAACACCAAGACAAACTCTTTGGACTATGATGTTTCTATGAAGTTCAAGCCCTGAATGTAGGTCCACTACAAAATGGGTAAATTGCAATTACATAAAGTTAAAATATTCATGATACGACCATAATTTGAAAAGCAAGGTTCCATTAGTTTAACCATGTTTGATTTACATACCAATCTCCTGAAATATTGTTCCTCTCTTGCAGCTTCCATCTGACCAAATGCACCACCTGCCTCTCTTATTGAACCGCCACCACCACCTCCCTAGAATACAAAAACCATCAGTGTTACGTAGAGCCACAGTCCCTGACACTGTGGCAGAGCCTAATGGGCAGAATTATAGAATTTTGGAGGTGTGGCTATTCACATTCTGGGTGCAAACTGCATGTCTGTGTACAAGTAAATACAGAAAGCCTGCTTATAAACAGATAACAACGGGTGGTTTATTTACCGTCTATTTAGAGTTTATTCACAGACATTCACCTTTTCTTCTCTGCCCTCTAATCTAACTAGGTTTTCAAGGGAATCTTGATCAATGTTCACATAATCGTGTACATTTGAGGAAAGTGTTATAGCGCCCTCAAGTGGACTAATTATCAGTCACTTTGTTTATTGGTCCCAGGTGCAAATCTGTCAAATCAGTTCAGCCAGCCAGGCATACTATTCTTAGCAGAAGTAAAATTCATCGTTAATATAATTTATTGGACTGTACAATTAACCAAAATCTGATAAAGTCAGTCAATGTTCACATTATCATTATAAATTTAACAAACAAACAGTACTATGATATTCAGTTGTAAATTTCTAATAAAAGTTTTTGATCTTTAACAGAAAAATATACAAGTTTACTGAATCTCTCGTCAGATGTTGCATGTACGCTGATTGGAACCAATATGATCGCCTTTGTTGTAGGTCCATTACATGAATGGTGGTTTAAACTTAAACGGGATACAGTCATCAGAACTGCATATGTGTATTTTATTTATGGTGAATGTACTTCAGGCTGTTCTCTGGTTGTTTTTATATAAATCACACTACAGAATTCAGACAAGTGCAAAGATCTCGGTTGTAACAAGTATGACAAAAAACCTTGATTTATGTTCAAGTTTGACAAATAATTTTAGTTTAAAGTAAAATTGCTTGACAAATAATTTTAGTTTAAAGTAAAATTGCTTTTAGCGACTCACAAAAACCGGTTTGTGAGCTTCTAAGAACTGTACACGTGAATTTACAATGATAGTGTAAATTTAAGGTAGATAATAATCTAGGGTACGTAATCTCCATAATCATATATTTGAAAATTACTTTTTGAAAATGAATGAAAAAGAAAAATTTTGATTAATTATGACAAGCTTTGCAGGAATAGAAACTGCACAATTCATACACACAAGTATGAACTTATTAAGAGATGGAACATAGCAACTCCATCAAATTAGTCTGCAGGTGGTTTTAATGCAATGGCATATTTAGTAGCTTAGTAGTTCTATTATAATTTTTATTGTTTGTTTTGTTTTGTTTTTTCTTCCATTCTTTGTTACATTTATTCAATGTTTTATTCGTCATTTTGGTGGAGTGAACTGTATCCTAAACAATAACATTAGCTTATGTTTTTCCCCATTCTATAATTACTTGTATTTAACATGCTATTTGTGGTAATAGTTGCGTAAAGTATTATTTCTGTTTTTTTGTTTTACAACCATAAAATTACTCTCTATAGTAGATTTTCGTGTTGAATAAAATTATTGTTATTATATATTATGTATGTACCACAACTGTATAAAAAACAACACTAAACTGAAACATAAGATTTCAGGAATTTAACTTTAAAGGATATACTGACCTTTCCAGCACCACTTCCCATTTCCCCAGTACTGTACATGCAAGCACAAGCATGCCTGTAAGAAAATAAAAGTTGTATTACAGCTATATATGCGCCGACTTCTTACAAAAATGCTTGTGATAGGCCACTAACCCCAAATCATCTAGCCAAGTAAGGAATTATTGTACCCGATACTAGTAATGTGAAACCATTTATTTTCACTGGGATTTTATTTCACTATTTTTTATATTTTAACAGGTATAAATTTGCTAGAGGCTGTCCAAAATATGTTGAAATATTTGAGTGAGTGCAAATATTAATCTTAGATTGAATTCCACTTAGGTAAAAATGTGAAATGAATATAGGCTCACCATAGTATTAAGACATAATAAAAGTCGCAAATTAAAGTAATGTGCTGCGAGTGAAATAAAAGTAAATAGGCATAATGTGAACTTGGTCACATATCTCAACTGATCTGTTACAGGGTGCTGGATAAAAAAAAATGATTACTTTAAAATAAAAAAAATAACAGTTTATTATATGAGCAACTAGTTCCCACTTCGGATTCTCGGTCAAACGCAGACAGAGTTTTTTGGGTACAAAATGCCATGGTCAATTTTGATTCACATATAAATATTACACAACATTCGCACATAAGTCAGTGATGTTTCTACATTGATCTTTCAGCTTAATGAGCTCTATCTCTTCCGTTACATGGAAAGCGCACTAGGATAGCAATATAAGTGATGACATCATAGTGGTTGGACACACATCAAAGTAAAGTCAATGGGTAATTAGCATATCTAACAATAGTTTCCTAACCTTTCTTCTACATAGTAACCTAGGCTAGGTGGCTAGAGTTGCTTGGGTCAAAATTACATTTTCTTATAGTATATGGTGCAGAACCTATTTTTGCATTATAGAATGTCACCCCAGCAGAAATACCAGTATTGGTTGATCCCACTAATCACTAATAATACCATTCCCATATGCTAGGGGATAGACCATTAGAAACTCTTGGGGGGGGGGGGATTACAGGATTGAACAAAATTGTACAGGAAAAAATCCTGTAAAAAATTCTTGCAGTGATTAAAATAAATCTGAGAAACAAAATATTAAACATAGTGAAAAAATTATAGCAAATTCATCGTGGAATAAAAAACAAATAAAACTAAGTGAAGGAGAACAAATATTTTGTACAGTTTTTCTTCCATTGCCCATACCAGAGTTTTTAATGGTCCACCCGTTTTATAAACTTTGGCCTTGAAAATGGGTGATCTGTCTGTCAACTCCGAAGTTCAAGCCCAGAAACTGCTTCTACTAATACCAGCTCAATAATAAAAGTTGCAAAGGTTGGGGAATAAAAGCTTGATGAAATCATTTTTTCCAACGCATTTCTGTCAAATTATGTGATATAAAAAATATGCCATGCCAAATAATGATGTGGCAACAACAATAGAGAGTCGCACTGAACCGGGTGACCTTTCGTTACTATCATTTATTCTGCCCGCACTGATAAAGTAAATTATATTGACGAAAGGTCATCCGGGCATCACAGATTGTGTCCGTCCTGAAAGCTATCCCAAAAATAACATATTGCTGAGTAAAATATTCAGTGAGCACAGCATTACAGTTTGGCAACGAGGAGGCTAGCCGGCGAATGTATACAAAACAGAAAGTCGGGCATAGATGTTGACGGCCAGGAGGAACGTCGGCGGACCGCATCTGTCGCAAGACAGATCAATAAACTTGTCAGAAATTGTTGCTGAATTTTCTTGTCATATTACCTAAAATCAATCACTGAATTGTTGCTCCACAAAACGTATGTTTGGGTTACCTAACGCAAATATAACGTACCTAAATGTTGCAACATTTCGAGAGAGTCGCCTCGCAGCGTGCTGAATAAGCGCGGCCATATTACCTGAGGTGGAGCATCATGGGAAATAACCCAGTTTTAAAATTTCGGCGTTCGTGTCCGCTAAACCGGACCGCTCTAGTGGAAACCTTCCAACGGGTATGCAAGGCACCCACTGGGGTCTGTAAATCATGTTTTAAAATGGGCCATCGTAGTAAGGGGTACCTTTTGGCATTTTCAAGGGTCTGGTTCCTATAGAATAATGCCGTAAAGAAAGATTTAACATTTCCTTTTAGGTTTTCAGATTAATAAAGTAAATAATAAAAGTACATGAAATGTAAAAATTGATTTATATGTTGTGTGACTCCTACCTTTTTTACTCTGCCCTCAAATCTAAAGGTGCGAGCAGAATTTACGGCGGGGGGCATGATTTTTTTAGTGACTGCTGTCGGGGGGGGGGGTCATGAAATTGTAAAACACGACAACGTATAACAATATTTGCCATAATTTCTTCTCTTTTGCACTTAAAAAAAAACAAAACATACTTGTAAATATACTAGTATAATAAATAAAACATAGAACAGTATAAGTACAGTTGCATACATGTAGTTTGACAAAAAAAAAACCAGTGTGATTTGATTGTAAATTTGTTTGGTGAAAAAAACTCCAAAAAAAGTTTGATTGTAAATATGTAGTAAAGGTAGCAACAGAGGAAATGTGGGCATATAAAAAATTGAATAATAGCTTCTTTTTTTTAAAAAAAAAAAGCAAACAAACTAGCACCCTGTATGCATGTCTTCCTAGTACCACTTATTGTATTCAATATACTTTGCTATAACAATGTTTTTCTTGTCCCCAAAGAACAACGTACTTAATCAAGCCACGCAATTCCCCCTAATGCAATACCCACTCTATTAAACTATCATGGTATTACAGGAGACGATGTTTGTACCAATATCATTCAGACTCGTCAGTCTCAGAATTCGAAGTTAACTTGAATGCATGTTTTGTTTTTTCTGAGGGGCTTGTAAAATTGCAATCAAATTATCAGCATTATCAGGGTCCTCAAATGCATTGATGCTTCGCAAGTACGATATCGAAACATTGAGATGTTTCCTGGGCAACAGCTTCTGTTTGGCAATTTTATTAGTACTAATAACAGTATTTCGTTTGTGTCCATATTTGGATTTAACAACTTTTTCTTCCATATCAGAGCTGTATGCATCAACCACTAACATCTTTGCCTGTTTCATATGACCACATATCATTGTAAATGCATGATCACAGATATGATACATGTAAGTTCTTTATGGAATGTAAACAAATTGAAAAACTGGGTATTTGAGGGCGGGGTCATGAAAATAATAGGTGTTTGGTTGGGGGTAGATGCCAATTTTTATGCCATATTATTTTTATTTTTAAGATGGGGGGTACGAAATTAAAAGTTTAAAAAATCCCCCCCGCCATAAAATCTGCTCACATCCTAAATTACTTTTTCAAGAAAGTCAAGACCGATGTAAAAATAATCATTATAAACTTAGTATACAATCAGCCACATCCCTTATAGGAGCCACATTTCTTATAGAAGCCGCATCTCGAATAGAAGCCACATCTCTTATAGAAGCCACATCTTTAATAGAAGCCACATCCCTTATAGGAGCCACATCTCTTATAGAAGCCACATCTCTTA